GCAAGAACAAACAGGAAATCGTTCTCTTCTCTTCTCTCTGCTGAGACGATGAACAGGCGAGATGTAGGACGCCAGAGAAGTAAAAGGTCCCTGGACCTTCTCCAGTAAGATAAGTCCACGAGGGAATACTTAGATTGATAAAAATGAGTTAATAATTAAGTCAGAGATACCCTATAAGAAACCATAGCCAATGGCCAACAGCATTGTAACTAATAAAGTCTCTGTGTGTTATTTGGGGGCTGAAGTTGTGGCGGGACCTAGTTGGGCCAAGAAAACCTCACATTACAACCATCATCATCATCATCACCACCACTGCCATTATCATTACCATAATCATGATCACCACCACCGCCATCACCACTGCCACCGTCATCAATGACTCTAACACACTAGGATCCGAAGAATGGAGCCAGGTTATTCCCAAGGTTTTATTTGGGTTGAAAACCCAAATGTGTTTTATTTTAGCCATTATGGTAGGACTAAGACCCCAAGTTCACATACTCCTTAGACCTCAGTTCCTTTAATACCATAAAATGAGGCTTGTTTTCAATGTGTCTAGGTGACACATACATCAAAGACCTCTGAGTAAAAACAGCAGAACACAGAATGCAGGTTAAAGATCACAATAAAAAGAGGTGGCTCAGCAGTTAAAAATATGTGTGGTTCTTGCAAAGAATCCAAGCTCAGTTCCCAGATCCACGTTGGGCAGCTTACGACCGCCTGTAAGTCAGACTCCAGGGAACCACACCTCTGGCCTCTATGGGCACCTGAATTCATGTGTGCATACCCACACCTAGACAAGTCACTTATAAATAACAATAAAGAAATCTCCTTTTAAAGGGAGAGAAGAAAGCTGGCCAGACTGACAGTTGTCATGAGAACTTTGTGTCCCCTGAAGTAGAGATGTGAGGTGTTGGAACGCAGGAGGAAGTCACATGCATTCCATATTCACAACTAAAGGATGGGGAGCACATAGCCCTGCTGGCCTCTACTCAATCTACACTAAAAGCGGTGGCGGCTATGAAGTTACTGACACACTCCATGTCTTTTTGCAGGCAGGATGGATGTAGGTACTCTAGCAAGCACTAGGACCTTTAGTTTACAACACGTCTCCCGTGCTATTGTGGGTGTGGTCAGGGATGTGGATTCCCATTCTGAACCACCATGGAATGTAAAAAATAGCAGCACTGAAGCCTGAATGAAAGACATCCATCACACTCCTCAGTCAAAAAAAAGGTCATTTGTACTTCCTTTTCCTCTGGCCTTGAACACACTGAGAGAAATAGACTCCACAGGAGCCACCTGGGCCTTCTCCTGGTGAATTTATACATTTTAAAGCCAGATCTGATAAGTAGGAACATTTTGCAATGATTTGGTTTTTTTTTTTTTTTTTTTTTTTTTTTTTTTTTTTTTTTTTGCCTCTACCAGGTTTTAAGCAGAACCAAGAGGCCTCAAGCACATGCAAGGCTTAGGTAGTGCTGACAGAAGCACAGGCTGGGACAACTGAGGCTCTGAAGGAAATGTGCCAGCAAAAGCACAGAAAGGAAAGTCAGAAAAAATGTCAACAAACAATAAGTAAGAAATGATATGTACTGGAGCATTTAGGTGCATACCCTTTCCAATTGGACTCGTGTGTGTGTGTGTGTGTGTGTGTGTGTGTGTGTGTGTGTGTGTGTGTGTGTGTGTGTGAGGTATTTATGTCTCCTGGGTCTTCAAATTGTTCATGGCTCGGACTGAAGCCATGGCTCAGCAGTTCAGAGTATTTGTTGCTCTTGCAGAAGATTCCAGGTTCAGACTCAGGTTCAGTTCCCAGCACCCACATGGTGACTCACAACCATCCATAACTCCGGTCCCAAGGGATGTGAGCCCTCTCTACCCTCTGTGGGCACCAGGCATGCACAGGGTGCACATACATGCATGCAGATAAAACACTCATATGCACAAAACAGAGAGATCTAATAATAGATTGCCACGTACTTCCTGTCATGGGAATCTAGTCTAACAAAATGATTAGAGGTATAAGTAACGATTAAGATGCAGATTCCCATGGAAACATTAGTTGTAACAGAAAATGCTAGGAAAAACTATAATTTCTAGCAAATAAGGGGATGGATTTTCAGTTAGGATGGAGTCTTATGACGTTATTGAAATTTGGATACAGACATGGCTTCACAGACACAGAACATGTCAAGGATAGATATGAAGTGCTGTTAGCATTCACAGAGCACCTGCTCACAGTGGGTAGTACTTGCTAAGCACAGGCTCTTAACCTCAGATACTGACAAGGAAAAGCAGAGGTTAGGGATGTGTTAAGGTAAGCAATAACACTAAAGAGAAACACAGGCACCTTGAAATCGGAGACAGGGATTTAAGAAAGTTTGGAGGAGCTGGGTGTTGGTGGCTCACGCCTTTAATGCTGGCATTCAGGAGGCAGAGGCAGGCAGATCTCTGTGAGTTCAAGGCCAGCCTGGTCTACAAGAGCTGGTTCCAGACCAGCCTCCAAAGCCACAGAGAAATCCTGTCTCAAAAAAAAAAAAAAGAAAAAGAAAAGAAAAGAAAGTTTGGAGGGGCCATGCAAGACTCCACTAAGAATGGAGAGGAGCTAGGCAGAACAGAAATGGGAAAGAAAATATTTCATATTAGTAGCAATTTTTAAATATTACATAATTTATTAAATCATGGCTATTCAAAGATATATGAACCCATTTATACTGAAAGATAAGTTATACATACACACACACACACACACATATATATATATTATATATATATATATATATATATATATATTCTGAAAGAATAGTCAGCTAAATGCTATAGTCAGTGGATTTATTTTTTTTAACCTTCTGCTTGCTCCCATTTTCTGGTTTTTCTTTCTGTAGTCAATATGTGCGGAAGGTATTTGGGTGGATGGGGGGAGGGTGAACAAAGGGTGAGGGATGGATGGTAACCAGGTCATGTGAGGGCTTGGGCAGGGAGAACATTAGACCATGTTCAGAACTCTCCATTCTTTCCTCGCTTCAATTACTAGAGGCCAAGATTCGTCCTAGGAGCACGCGCTCCCCCAACTGTTTCCGCTTTCTAAGGCATTTCTCCTACCCACAGGCATGTTTGTTGGAGCCAACGGTTCAATTTATTATATTTATGAGCAGATTCCTCTGTTGATACTGAATTTACAAAACCACACATACAGAGAGTGACTGGCCAAGCTGTGTATTGAAACTGTGGCTGAGTAACTATTGGAGAGAGATAAATCATTCCAAAATAGCTAGTTGCAGGCAAAGGAAAGAAGGAGAAGGAAACAAAGTTCTTGCAGTTAGAGCTTGACGCCACTCTAGAGGATGGCTGAGATTCCCAGATTTCCAGGTTACACGGTAAAAACCCCGCCCTGGCTCCAGGGCTACAGGACACCTGGCGTACTTCAGCCAGTGTACAACTCCAAGCTGAGAGCAACTCCTTCGAGTGATGAGCCCGAGGATGCATGCACCGGGGATTCTCACAGGACAATACCATGGCCCTTCCAGAAAGTTCACTCCTGCCCAACTGTGCACCATAGTAGGGAAAAAATTGGTTCTGCTGGGTAGAAATGTTTGCGTTCACCACTCTCTGCAAACTCAGGCTCGTTCTTCCTCCCTTCACCCATTCACTGTCTCCTGGAGTGGGCAGTGTGGCCTCCGCATTGACAAGACACATCTCCCGGGCACCTGAAGCTCACCATCAAGCAGGTGACACTTCATCCACACATTACCAACATCCTGGTGTCCTGCTATGAGCGTTTAAGATATGGAGACAAACAAGCAAGAGGCCCATCTTCACAAGCAATGAGAAGACAGGTTAAAAAAATAAAAGATGGTTATAGTTTTTTTGTGGGGGTGGTTGGTTGGTTTTGTTTGTTTTTGAGACAGGGTTTCTCTGTGTAACATCCTGGCCATCCTGGCACTCGCTCTGTAGACCAGACTGGCCTTGAACTCACAGAGACCCACCTGCCTCTGCCTCCCAAGTGCTGGTATTAAAGACGTGCGCCACCAACGCCCATCTAGGTTAAGTATTTATAATATGGGAAGGAAAGAGGCTTGGTGTAGAGCTATGACCATGACAGGAAGGGGCTTTCTGAGGGGAACACATGTGCAGGGTGACAACAGCAGTTATATGAGGGCCAGGGTGCAAGTGTTGCAGATACCAGGGCACAGGCCAGAATGTAAGGGGATGGACACCACACTCAGAGCAAGCATGGGCCACGGAGGAAGCATGTGGCAGGGACCCCTGAGCAGGCTTGGTGTCTCACAGATGGCGTCCTGTGACAGCAGTCATCAGAGCACTGTATATGGTACAAGGAAGTGCTCCAGCCTGACAGCTCAGCCACAGGATTCAGGGACTCAGCCCAGGCGTAACATAAGCAAGATCCTTAGGCAAGCCAACTTCTTCCCTGAAAGCTTAGCAAAGGTGCTGGAGTCATGGCAGACATTGGTAGTCCTACTACCATCGCTTCTCCAGATGTCCACACCTTTAGAGAGACTACAGGAGGCCCTGGCTCTCGCCTGGGAAAAATTACCAGAAATGCACAAGACAGACGCACAGGAACAATCCCTTGGGGGAGAGTGCTGGGCAGGCATCAAGAAGCAAGTCCTTACTAGCGGGATGGCCTCTGCCTGAGCCTTCAGCAGGCCCAGTAGACAGTCAGAGGTCTACACTGTCCACAAGCTCCCCACACTGTTCTGCCCCCTGAGGCTCTAACACCACTGCCAATGCACCACGTGTGAGACTTGTACGCCCTTTGATTCTGCCTTTGTTCCCAGTGAAGACCAAAAGATTACATGTCCAGCTGGCCTGGCTGAGGCTTTGTCCTCTCAAGTTCTCCATGTGCAAAGCTCAGAACACAGATGCTCCTTGTAGCAGGCTGCATAACTCTGCCTCTCCTCCCTCCCCCGTCTCTCCCCCACCACACGAGGCCACCCTCAGCATTCTCCCACACCTTAGGCTACTGTGTGCCCTCGCCGTACCTGTGAACATGGCACAGAAGTAAGGGCTGCAGGCCGCCAGGACAACACGGTGGGCTTCTATCTCCACATCTTCTGCCACGATCATCACGTCACACAGCAGCTGCTTACTGTAAGACACCAGTGAGGTGACAGAAAGGGTCACAGCGTGGACACCCACCCCTGCCCCACCCAGGTCACACACTAACATCCGGACTTTCCCATGGCATGAAGAGAGGCCCGGCTATTCCGGGACTTCATTTATCCTCATCACTCTGGTCCCCAAGTTCTGCAGCAGTAAATAAAGACAAGAGCGGCTGAGGACTGACTTCATGCCAAGGAGCATGAGCATGTCACTGAGGTTTGCCAACAGCAACACCAGGTACTAGAAGTTCCCTCTAGAGGCTCCACTCCACATGCAAGACTGGTAAGAAACCAGTCAGACTCGGGTGTTTCTCCTCCCACCCAGATTTAACACCATCACCAAAAGACAGCCTGACACACAGTACTCCCAGAGATCTCAGGCAAGCTCCAATTGCTGCAATCCCTAAGAATCTTGCCTGAGGCAACATAGTACACTTGTATAACACGCATAAAGTCATAGGTTCAATCTTCTCTACTGATATATATATATATATATATATATATATATATATGTATGTATATATGGCATGATATGATATGATATGACATGACATGACATGACATGACATGATATGATATGATATATATGAAACCATTGTCTGGGCCAGGTAGATAGCCCAGCAGGTGAAAGCACTTGGTGTGCAGGAATGAGGATTTGCGTTCATATTCCCCAGCTCCTGCATTTAAAAAGTCAGGTGTGACTGTGAGCATGCCTGTAACTCCAGAGCCTGTGAGTTGGGATGAAGAAAGGAAGATCACTAGGACTTGCTGCCAATCTAACGCCAGGTTCAGTGACAGACCCTATCCCAAAAGATACAGAAACAGAGATAGGGTGATTGACAAAGTACAACACGTGATGTCCTCCTCTGCCCTCTGAATACAGTCTCATGCACACACACACACACACACACACACACACACACACACACAC